GAGCCACAGGCGCCAAGCCTACATATATTTTCTTATGTATTCCTCACAACAAGCCTATGAGATAGATACTATTTCTTGTCCTCAATTTACAGATATGGCTTAACCAAGTCACTCACTAGCCATGTGAATTTGTGCCAGTTCCTCAGCCTCTTTGCACCTTAATTTCCTCATATACAAATGTGGAGGAAGTAATTAATTGGCCCAAGGTCACAAACTAATAAATGGCAGAGCCAGCATTTGAATCCAGGCAGGCCAACATGCTCTAGTGCAGATCATAGGTGTAATACGTTCATTCATAAGCCTGTAACACAGTGGTTCTCAACCTTCCTAATGCCGCAACCCTTTAATACAGTTCCTCATGTTGTGGTGACCCCCAACCATAAAATTAGATTCATTGATACTTCATAACTGTAATTTTGCTACTGTTATGAATCATATTGTAAATATCTGATATGCAGGATGTATTTAGGCACCTCCTGTGAAAGGGTCATTCAACCCCCAAAGGGGTTGCGACCCACAGGTTGAGAACCACTGCTCTAACAGGAAGTAGGCAGTTATAGAGGCTGAAGATACAGCAATGCACGAGATAGCCACAATCCCTATTCTCATAGAGCTAAAAAGTCTCTTCCAGCTTTGAATGCTGGAATAAACCAAGAGAAATGCCTCGGAGTTCAACAGGGAGATATCCAAAAGGAAACACTCCAGGAACTCCAGTTGGCCAAGAGAGCCTATGGAAAGAGACAAGGTTGTACCTGGCTCTGCGACCTTGCCCTTTCTCCTTCCTGATCTTGCAGAGGCCTGCCAGGCACTGGTGTGTTGGAACTGGCTTGTCTGCTTCCTGCATCTCTTCCCAAGCCATGTGCAATGACATCACATTGGTAGTATGGGAGCAATGACACCACAGAGATCAGCAGATTCTACAAACCACAACAACCTTTTTCCTGAGATGGGTTGTTAGACATTGATCAGCACACCACTACTGGCAGGCTGTCTTAGAAAGGTGAACAGCTATCTTTCCCAGAGACAGGGGGATGAAACAATTGGCCCCTGACCTTGATAGAATGCTAGCTGCCCTTTCCCCTCCTTCTGTAGGTTTACCTCAATCCTGTTTCTCTGGTGTGTTTTTTTCCAAGTTCAACAGAGCCCAATTGAGCTTGGAATCCTGAGCAGCTTCAAAGTAAATATTATGATTATGACCCTTTGTCCTCCTCACAGCCATTACTGTTGCTAGCTCACGCCTACATCCCAGCACTTTTGGGAGACTGAAGCAAGAGTATCACTTGAGCCTAGGAATTCAAGAATATCCTGAACAACGCAGCGAGACTCTGTCCCTAAAAAAAATTTTTTTTTAAATTAGCCAACTATTCACCTGTAGTCCCAGGTACTGAAGAGACTGAGGTGAGAGGACAATTTGAATCCAGGCATTTGAAGTTGCAGTATGACCACAACACTGCACTCCAGCCTGGGGACAGAGTGAGACCTTGCCTCTAAAAATAAGAATAAAAAGATAATGTGAAAATATCCTAAGTCTTTGTTAATGACCAAAGCTAACACTACCATAATTTTACCCTAAAAATGTCGTAAAAGAAAAGACAATACTTGGGGGCAATATAAGTCGATGCCCAAACAGAATATGTTTTTTTCAAACAGAATTTTTTTTTTTTTTGAGACAGAGCCTCAAGCTGTCCCCCTGGGTAGAGTGCCGTGGCATTACAGCTCACAGCAACCTCCAACTCCTGGGCTCAAGCGAGTCTCCTGCCTCCGCCTCCCAAGTAGCTGGGACCACAGGCGCCCGTCACAACGCCCAGCTATTTTTTGGTTGCAGCCATCATTGTTGTTTGGCGGGTCCGGGCTGGGGATTCGAACCCGCCACCTTAGGTGTACACGGCTGGCGCCTTAGCCAGTTGAGCTATAGGCGCCGATCCAACAGAATATTTTTTCAACAGTCATTATTAAGACGGTTGACCTGACAGTTATGTACAGACAGTAGGCATAAAAGTATGGCCATGGAAAGCCCTGCAAGACAAAAGATCACATCACCTTCAGCAGTCAACCTGTGGATCCTTTGCCAAGTCAGTGACTGGACTCAGCCCCATGGCTGGGCTACCATTGCGGCCTGGGAGATAATCTAAGCCACTCGTGACCTTGGCCCACATTGTGGTTTCTCTGAGCAATGACAGTGTTGTCAGCACATCAAGAGGCCAGGATGCATGTGTTGTAGGCTTTTTTGGATCAAGAATGGGGAATGAAATTAACCCAGCCCAGGCTGGTCTATCCAACGGTTACACTGCAGGTCTAAGAGGGGAGCTACTGAGGCAGCCATTTCCTGAAACTTGACAAGAGAAAGAATATGACTCCTGGGGGGGTGAGGGCATCTCCTTCCTACCCCTCCCCTCTTGGAAGGTCTATTTCAGGCACTTTGGCAATTCCACCCCAGCAGGTGCACACCGAAGCAACTCTAGCTCTACAATGTCTGAGTGGCAACTAGAGAACAGGGGTTTACTCTTCTACTCACTCTGCCTTGAGCTTGGCTGCCTCTTCCCCTGGGCCTGGGATCCACATGTCAAATTAGCCTAGACTTCCACCCTGAGAGAGCCATTCTGATTCACAGCAATCCCCCTCCTAAAGCTTTACTAGCCCAGCCAATTGTATGTGCTTGGAAGGTCACTGACAGTGGGTCTGTCATTTCTCTCCTCATCTCTTCAAATTCAGTACAGGTCATATGGAGCTCTGGGATGAATGCCAAGAGAATCTGATATGTTTGTGCTGAAATACTGCAGTAATCAAATATTACACAAAATAAGTTGGCCATCAGCCAAAGACCGAGGATCTTGTTAAACAGAGATTTGGTGGTACTAATATTGGATGTGATAGCGTTTGTTCTTAATGTTGATCACTATGACTTCTATTTATTTTATATTCCTCTCTTAATACCACCTAATCACAATCCTGAGTTAGACTTTCAGCATTTGAAGAATTAACAGCCTCAATCTGAACTCTAAGGTCCTTGACGTGTAACTCTGTGAAGCACACGTTTTCATCTCATAGGTTCCAAAGCTGATGCATAGGAGTGAGTCATTTAGCTAGTGAGTGAGCCTTGCTGACTGCTTGTCATCCACTGTTCTCTACTTGTCCTTGAGCACACAATGATTCTCCTACAGAAAAATATCTGAAAACAAGTGCTGGGGTAGGAGGAGAAGAAAAAAATAAAGAGCCCAAGAAAATGAATGACCTTAGTGAGAAAACAGAATTTTTGAGTACATTAAAGAGTAAAATGCCAACTTTGGAGGTGGTTCAGATCTACAATGTGAATGAGTTCCCCATACATTAAAAAAAAAAAAGAAGAAGAAAGCAATTAGCAGAAAGTGTTTGTGTTTGAGTGTTCCAGCCAATGTGAAAACTGACGCTATTCTGGTATTTATGCAATCATTAAAATCATTAGATTTCAGAAGGAGGTCACAGAAAATATGCTTTCCCTGCACTGTAGGTGAAAATTATACGCTATGATTGTGCTTGAAAATTTGGGATTAAGGTCTGAGAAGATTCTTTATTCCTTTTCGAGACAGAGCCTTGCTATGTTGCCTAGGCTCACCTCGAACTCCTGGGGCTCAAGCAATTTTCCTGCAGCAGCCTCTGAAGTAACTACATGCACTTGGCTCTAAGGAGAGATTCTTAAAAAATATCAAGGAACTGTTGTCACTCATATTTGTTTGGTGTGCAATGGTTTCTAGAATACTTGTGTGTCCTCAAGAGCTGTTGCTGGCAGCAGCCTGGGTCTTTGTTATGGCTCTGCCACTTTTTCTGTGTTACCTCAGGTAAATCTTTAACGTCCTCAAGTCTCTGGGTCTCCACCTGTTCCATGAGGATACAAATGCTTCCCAGAGTCTTAGGAAGGATCAAAAGAGCTAATGTGAGAAAGTATTTGAGAAGTAGAAGGAGTGGTTCCCATGGGGTTCACGGATTCATTCATTTCACAAACATTATTGAATTCTCTTTGTGCTGTGATTAGCACATAGGGCGACTAAGACATGGCTCCCACCACTGGATTGAAGGTCTAGATAGAGATACAGGTAAAAGGAATAAAAGAACTTTGTACACAGCTGTGTAGTGCCTGAACTTGAGCCTAAACAAAGCTGTAGAAGAGTAGACAGATACAACCTACTTGCCACAGCTGATGGGCAGGTATCTTTCCTCATCCATCAACTACCTTCCAATTCTCCCCTAGCTCCTGTCTTCTATAATCAAAATGAACTTGACAGCAGTAACCAAGCCAGCCAGCTCCCTTGCAAAATTTCCACTGGGTCGCACATAGCTCAGTTTCTCCCAAGATAAGGCCTCCATATTCTGGTCTGACCGGGGGAAAATGTAATTACAGCTGGCTGCTTATAAAAGCAAACAGAAGGATAAAAGAAGAAGAGGGGGAAAACACTCTTGCAACTAGATCAGAATGGCACAGTATTTAACCTAATTACCTGCAAAGCCACATCCAGCCATTAAGGATCCATATTCTGTAATAGAATTTCCTGCTATGGAAATACTCACCCACGCACAGGATGTTGAAGCAGAAGCCCTGGCTGACTGACTTATTCACCAGCTGGTCAGGCAAGCTGTCAAACCCCACATGTCCAGCCAGGGGGACAGTTCGGCAACCTTCACCCTAGTTTGGAAGGGGAGAGAGGGGAGAAAATGAAAATGTGCTTAAAGGCAATCTGGGTCTCACTTCTCTGTCCAAATGCTCTCCATGCTAAGAAATAACCCCCGCCCAGGCCCAGCATGTCCTCTCTTCTCTCAGTTACTCCCTGCTCCAAAGCAAAATGGCCCATCAGCTTGGAAATCACGGATTTGGGGGTACAAACATCCTCTAGGCTCAGTAACGGATGTTACCACACTTTCAAACAGAGCGAATTACCAAGGGGGCTTAACAAGGGCAGAATGATGGGGTTAGCGAGGAGAACGCTGCCACTGGAGGTTCACAGACTTGGGTGAACCTCATCTCAATCACTTGTGAGCTGGGTAACCTCACTGAGACTGTTTCCTTCCATGTCTGACATATCAAGAAACATGGCATACCCCAGAGGTGACTGGTCAAATGTGCTAACAGATGTAATGAACTTAGTACATGCATACGTGTTCCATAAATATTACAAAAAGACTTTAAAAAGTAATTAATCCTCTCTCTCTAAGGACATTTTTGGGATCACAAAGGCAGCATAGCATAGACGTTAAAAGCACAGGCTTTGAAATCAGGCAGGTCTGTGTTGCAGCCCATCTTCGCCACCTTCTGGCTGTGTGACCTCAGACAAGTTACTTAACTTCTCAGTTTTCCCCTCTGTAAAACTGGAAACTAGGAGTAGTGTGGGGATTATACAGGATAATGTTCCTCAAGCGTCTAGCACAGTGCCTAGCACGTGGTAAGCATTCGATCACCAGGAGCTGCTGTTAACACTGCACCATGAGGTTATCCTTAGGCCCCCCGACTTGACTGGTAATGTCACAGAGCACTTCCCACAGCTAAAGGGAGCTGTCTCCATGCTTCCTCTGGTTCTCTTTACTCCATAGGGGTCAGCCAAGCTACTTCCAACCCTGGAAAGCAGAGGGCCATTGCTTCCCCTGAAAGGCCCAAAGCTTCTTACAGTTAATGGTTTTTACAAAACAGGGAGAGCCTCAAACTGGGGCAGGCTTCCAAGAAGGCAAGGGGAAGGATAAAAGGGGCCTGCATGTACTCAAAAAATGTGCCAACTGCCAACGGCCACGGGAGAAGGGAGGGGAGAGGAGAGGAGAAGGGAAGCTGGAGACAGCCAAGCTAGACAAGAAGGATGGGCTATGTAAGGAGTTGGCATTTTTGTTGGGTGGGGCTGCATCAAGCTTTCCATAACCTGAAAGATGCCAAGAGCGATCCAAGAAGGGCATGGTCTGTGCCAGGAGGCCTGCGCCAGCATCCCAATCTGCACTAGCAGGCAGCTCTTCCGTTGGACTGGCCCTGCTTTTAGATTAGGTCCATAGTAAGGGCCCATCTTCACATTCAAAGGGATAGGCTATGATGGGGGAGGAGCCTCTTGGCAGTTGACCTTGTCAGGACAGGTTGCCAAATCTCCCCATTACCTAGCTTGGGATCCCACTCCCATTGGTGTCATGAGATGCTCCAAAAGCAAGTGACAGGACCAGTGCTGGTGACTGCCATCTGGCAAGTTCATTACTCTCCACACATCTCACCCCACACACTCCCAGCGGAGCGTTCTTGACAGACGACCATATGCCATCATTCAGAATTGGTGGATTCTGTGCCCCCCAAAGATAGCTGAGTTTCATGAGGGACTCACATCACTCAGGGCTTTGTTCTACATTTACCTCTTTCTGATTCCCCTTCCCATTTCCCTGTCTTCTTGTTATTATAGCAAACTACATAAGCTATAAGGTTCTCGCTGTTGGTTCTTGGTCCTCAGCACTGCAGGGGACAGGGCAGACAGAGACTTAACAGACAAAATGCTTTCTTGATGGAGCCTCCTCTGCAGTAGGCATGGGAAATTGGGACAGGCTCAGAGTTTAGGTTTCCTGAGCCATATTTTATCACCCCAGCTGCCTCTTCTAGTTTCCAAATTCAGCACCATGAAAGTGCAAGTGCTCCAAAGGAAAGGAAAAGAATTTTTATTTTGAGATAGAATCTCACTCTGTCCCCCTGGGTAGAGTGCCATGGCATCAGCCTAGCTCACAGCAACCTCAAACTCCTAGGTTCAATCAATCCTCTTGCCTCAGCCTCCCAAGTAGCTGTCTACCATAATGCCGGGCTGATTTTTCTATTTTCAGTAGAGACAGGGATCTAGCTCTTGCTCAGGCTGATCTCAAACTCCTGAGCTCAAGTGATCCACCCACCTCAGCCTCCCAGAGTGCGAGGATTACAGGTGAGAGCCACCACACCCAGCTGGAATTTTCAAACTGAAGTAGAGGGCACTGGGGAGCTCCATAACTTATTCTTAATGATTTCCTTCATTGCCAAAAACTTAACAAAAACCTCTCATGTGCCCACCATTACCTCCCACCCAGCAGTGATGTAAACAGCCCGAAACAGCAGAAAAAGGAGCATGGGCTTAATTCCCTAGGCAACGATGTTTGGGGGATTTCAAATGTTTTGAACAGGAAAGGCCATGATACAGGTAGTGTTTCTAAAAAGATCATTCCAGGCTGGGCGTGGTGGCTCACGCCTGTAATCCTAGCACTCTGGGAGGCCCAGAGCTCACAGGTTCGAGACCAGCCTGAACAAAAAGGGAGACCCTGTCTCTACTAAAAATAGAAAAACAGAGGCAAGAGGATCGCTTGGGCCCCAGAGTTGGAGGTTGCTGTGAGCTATGATGCCATAGCACTCTACCCAGGGTAACGGCTTAAGACTCTGTCTCAAAAAAATAATAATAAAATTAAATAAAAATTTTTTTAAAAGATCATTCCAGATTCAAGGTGCTTGCTTGATTGGAAGACAGAAAGACTAGGGGCAGAAAAACATATGAGCTGGCAAAGTGACATCCAGACACTGTGACAATAAATGCTCGTTGCAGTGAACTGACCTGACTTGGGACTCAAAAGGAAGAGACAAACGTGAGAGCCAAAAGAAAGGATGGGACTGAATGAGTATTTGAGCAGGGGGGTGAGGGAGCAAAGCCCACCACAAGGGCCAAGCCTGGGGACTTGGGTTGACAGCAACATTGATAGAGGGAAGCTAGGAAGGAAAAGGAGCCTGTTTAGTGGGAATGTCAGGAAGTCTGGTTTTAAATAAACTGTTAGTAAGAAAATTACATTTACCAGGTTTTTAATTTTGTAAAAGTACCCAGGCCTGGTGGCTCACACCTGTAATCCTAGCACTCTGGGAGGCTGAGGCAGGGGGAACGCCTTAGGAGTTCAAGACCAGCCTGAGTAAGAGTGAGACCTTGTCTCTACTAAAAATAGAAAAACTAGCTGGGTGTAGTGGTGGGCACCTGTAGTCCCAGCTACTTAAGAGGCTGAGGCAAGAGGATCTCTTGAGACCAAAGAACTTAAGGTTAAACTATGGCACTCTATCTGGGACAACAGAGTGAGATTCTGCCTCACTAATAACAATAATAACAATTTTCTAAAAGTAATCAATGTTCTCCACAGAAATTGTACAACATATGGAAAAGTATAAAGGAGAAAATAAGAAATATCTATAACATCACTCTCCAGAGATCATCATGGCTAAGGTTTATCCATGTATGCATTTCCCTCCCATCTGTATACTTTCCTTTTACAAATAGAGATAATCCTGTATATTTCTTCTCATAATCTGACTTAATAACCTGAGGCTTAATATATACGAAAAATTAATTCTGAAACTTTATTTTTATTGGCTATATAGCATTTCATTAGAGGAATATGCCAGATTTTCCTTTTTTTCTAAGTGTTTGACCTTTATTTCTGATCTTTTCCATTTTACAGGAGAGGTAGGTACCCAAACACCCCGGTGCTGACCTGACCTGGCTTTGAAGGGGAAACTACCCTGGATCTCTCCCCTCCCCCACCGCCTCCCCACTGGGCTGAGAGAGTCATTCGTCCCTACAGTATCAGAGGACGGATTTGCCCTCCATGGAACAGCTCCATAGAAAAAGAAGTGACAGGACCTGGCATGGCGGCTCTTGCCTGTAA